TTTAGATTAGTTAGATTAGTAATATTTTAGATAAATCATTCAATATCAGATAAAACTTTCCATCTTTATTTATATGTACTATATGTACTTGAATATGCACTTTTATTACTAGGTGACCTTACGAACAGCGAGGCTGGTGGCTCAGTGGCAGTGTGTGGGTTTCTGTCATGGAGTCCTCAATACTGATAACATGAGCATCCTGGGCCTGACTTTGGACTATGGGCCTTTCGGCTTCATGGACCGGTAAAGTCTGATATAAACCTCAAACGTTATTCCGACTGTTCAGCAATAATTTGCATTAATGAGCAATCATTCATGAACATTAATTTCCTTGTTTTTTCTTTCTAGTTTTGACCCAGATTTCATCTGTAATGCCTCCGATACTTCAGGGCGGTATTCTTACCAAGCCCAGCCGGCCATCTGTCGCTGGAATTTAGCTCGGCTCGCTGAAGCCCTGGTACCTGATCTACCTCCGGACCGGGCCGAACAGGTGCTGGATGAGTACCTGCCTCTATACAATGACTTCTATCTGAGCAACATGAGGAAGAAACTGGGTCTGCTGAGGAAGGAAGAACCAGAGGACGAGATACTCATAACAGAACTTATGCAGACTATGCATAACACGGGTATGAAGATAGTATGAAGAACGATCATCCTGGAGCAATTGTGTTATTCATGGTTCTGTAAAATGTCTTGACGTGTCAAATATATTAGAGGGGGATAATTTTATTCTATCTCTCTACCTTTTCCTCCTCTTAGGTGCGGATTTCAGCAATACTTTCCGTAGCTTGAGTCAGATTTCCTGCCGGACCGGGCCGAACAGGTGCTGGATGAGTACCTGCCTCTATACAATGACTTCTATCTGAGCAACATGAGGAAGAAACTGGGTCTGCTGAGGAAGGAAGAACCAGAGGACGAGATACTCATAACAGAACTTATGCAGACTATGCATAACACGGGTATGAAGATAGTATGAAGAAAGATCATCCTGGAGCAATTGTGTTATTCATGGTTCTGTAAAATGTCTTGACGTGTCAAATATATTAGAAAAGGGGGATAATTTTATTCTATGTCTCTACATTTTCCTCCTCTTAGGTGCGGATTTCAGCAACACTTTCCGTAGCTTGAGTCAGATTTCCTGCCCAACACAGCAGGAGGGGGAAGATGAAAGTGAGGCTGAAAAACAAGCCACAGAGCTTCTCCTGCGGCAGTGTGCCTCTCTAGAGGAGCTCAAAGCTGCAAACAGACCCACCATGGATCCACGGTAACACCTCAGTGTATATTCTCATGTACACTACCATTCAAAAGTTTGTGGTCATAAAGAATTGTAAATGTTTTTAAAACAGATTATGCTCTTATGCTCACCAAGGCTGCATTTATTTTGATTAAATATATAGTAAAAACAGTTATATTGTGAAATGTATTACAATGTGAAATAATATTTTACTATATTTTAAAATGTAATTTATTCCTGTGATGGCAAAGCTGAATTTTCAGCAGCAATTACTCCAGTCTTCAGTGTCATGTGATCCTTCAGAAATCATTCTAATATGCTGAATTGGTGCGCAAGAAACATTTATTATGATTATCAATGTTGAAAACAGTTTTGTCTTTACGGTCACTTTTGATCAGTTTAATGCATCCTTGCTGAAAAAAAGTATTAATTTTGTTTAAATAAAAATAACTGACCCCAAACCGTTGAATAGTAGTGTATATATTTAGAAATTTTTACCATAAATAGTGTAAAATGTATTAATGGTGTATAATGATCAAAGTTCTGCTTGGTTTACTATGTAGTAAGCCCAACTGAACTATTTCCTCTAGCTCTTAAAAAAATTTTCAATTTACCAACTAAAGACAAAATGTCACACTGTTCTCATTATCTACTTTAAGATGGGAATAGATTTTTGGACTGCTGTTCAGAGCAAAAAGTAAAAAAAAAACAAAAAAAATTAGAATATTAAATATTTAACTTAACTTAAATATTTAATGTGACTTTGACAACTAACTGAAAGAAAAAAGAAAAAAAAATCTAAAAATAGAAATATTTTAAAAGAATAAAAACTAAACCACTAAGTGACAAAAGCACATATAAAAATAAAGGTGAA